AGGTGTTTTCTGCAAGACTGGGCAGGGAGGGGGGGACTTCACCTTTTAGAAAAAAAGCTTTGGTGACTTCTTCAGTTCTTCCCAGAAATCGGCTCACACAAAAAAATGCTGCTTGTCCTGTTTATGTTTTTTCAGTGATGTTACTGACACTAAGACCGGTAATAACAAACTTTTATAATAGTTTGTTGGTTTTTTTTTTTATAACAGGTAAATATTATGAATCACTTTGAGCATATTTGCAAAGAGTTAATCACTCTTTGTGATGTTACAAAGCTGTTCTTGGTGTATAAAAGAGAAACTATAGCTTAAATCAAACATGTTCAGACCTTTTTGGTGTGTTCCCATGCGAGGACAAGGGTCAGAATTGCAAGAGATGATGCTGCTCCTTCTTTTGATCGTGGATCAGTCCTCTTCAGTATGTTCAGCAATGATCTGGATGAAGGGATGGAATGTACCCTCAGCAAGTGTCCTATGATACACAACTGGGAAGGGAGGCTGACACAGCAGAAGGTTGTGTTGTCATTCATCAAGACCTGGACAGGCTGGAGAGTTGGGCAGAGAGGAACCTCATGAAGTTCAACAAGGGCAAGTGTAGGGTGCTGCACCTGGGGAGGAATAACCCCCTGCACCAGGACAGGGTGGGGCTGACCTGCTGGAGAGCAGCTCTGGGGAGAAAGACCTGGGAGTCCTGGTGGACAACAGGATGTGTCAATGCATCTTTAGATACCAGAAAGAGTTTCTTGGCTGTGAGGGTGGTGAGAGCCTGGCCCAGGTTGGGCATAGAAGCTGTGGCTGCCCCATCCCTGGAGGGGTTCAAGGCCAGGTTGGAGGGGGCTTGGAGCAACCTGTTTAGTCTGGAGAAGAGAAGACTGAGGGGGGATCTGATCAACACCTATAAATACTTCAAGGGTGGGTGTCAGGAGGATGGGGCCAGGCTTTTCTCAGTGGTGCCCAGGGACAGGGGAAGAGGGAACGGGCACAAACTGGAACAGGGGAAGTTCCATCTCAACATGAGACCCCAGAAAAAGGTGTTGACACAGGAATGGTCACAGAAACAAATCGTTCTCAAAGGTGGTGACATCAATTCCTTCCAACAATTTGGTGACGGAAGGCAGAAAGCAAAACAAACCCCCCGTGAAGTTTCCCAGTCTTTACTGAAGCATATTCCTATGATAATGTACTTCAGTTTTCCATAGATTAACAATAGGGCTTCAGGAAGTAAAAGGGGGTTGGATACAAGCGTCGCACAGTTCTGAAGACAAGCAGAGGAAACTCCTGCCCCCAAATTACAGGAAAACCAGCACTAAATTAGCAAACAATTGCTGCCCGGCAGAAAAGTGGGTTTTTTTGACAAGGCAGGACACTGGGAATGCAGTTCTGTATGTCAACTCTTGTAGCAGTAATTATCTCTGTAATTACTTCTGCATTGACCGAGAGAGGGCATCCTTTTCCTATGGAATCCTGGCACGGATACTGAAATAATAAATGCTTCTCAAGAACCTAGGTAATTTTTTTTTTAACTATTCTATTGCATTTTAACTAAGACTTTTTGACATATTAAAAAATGTAGCTGTTTAAAAAGCAGACTGTTGCTCAGTTTTTGAGACCTGTGACACAAATTTCTCAGGGCAGCCTTTCATGGAGTGCCTCTAGAGTTTCAGTCAGATATGCTTTATCTCCTCTATCAGGAGTAAATAATCCGCATGGGTAAGAGTCTGCCTCTTTTAAATCACTTCCTTAACTGCAGATTTTTTTTATTTATTCATTAAAAGCAAGGTAGGGCGTTTAGTGGTGTTTCCTCCTCCGAGCAGCTTTCTAGCACAAATGTGAAACTACTGATTTTTCCATATTTTGGATGCTATTTCCTCCCGCAGCGGGACATCGGGTAAATCTTTGGTGTGTGAGCTCAGCTTTGCTGGCTGGCAAACAAATATTTCCACTTTTGGTGGCGTAGCTGGCTATTATAAAAGCACATTGTGCCCGTTTTTTTCAGGCCTCTCCCCCCTGATAGGGCATTTCCCAGCCTCAGCAGGCGACGGGAGCTGCTGCAGCTTCACGAGCAAGAGATTCCTCACGAGTCTCAAGTTGGATTTAGAAGCTTAAAATTTTGGGGAAACTCATCTCTAATCCTCACAACTCCCTGCTGCCAACACAAATATCTCTGCAGTATATTTATGCTGTGACTACTTTGGGTATTTTTACCTCTACTCTGGATAATTAATACTGGTTAAAGAAACTTGTCGTAACTTAAGGGTGAGAAAACTGCAAGTATCTCTCTCAGCCCCATTCCTGTAGCAGATACCCCTGTGTTGTCCAAATGAAGCTGTAAGCTTGGGAAGTCTACCTCAATTTCTGAAGAAATTTATCTAATGAGGGAAGAAATCTTAATTACAGTTACACCACAACTGAGGAACATATATAAAAATAGTGTACCCCGTTCACCGCTTTCCTAAAGGACTCGCACCAAAATCATCTGTGCGTGTTACTCTTTAATTCTGGGGAACTAAAATACTAAATACATCATTTTTGTCACAGCGTCATTTGACTCATTTGCATAAGGAGTGAGTTCAGGATCACAGAATTGTCCAGGTTGGACAATTCTTTCAGATCATCTGGTCAAAGCATCAACCCAACTCTGATAAACCCATCACTAACCCATGTCCCTCAGCACCACGTCTGTCCAGCTTTTACATCCCTCCAGAGATGGGGCCTCCACCCCTTCCCTGGGCAGCCCATTCCAAGGCTTCATAACCCTTTCTGTGGAGAAATTTTCCCTAATCTCCAATCTCAACCTCCCCTGGTGCAACTTGAAGCCATTTCCTCGTCCCATCGCCTGTTCCTTGAGAGAAGAGACCGACCCTCACCCCCCTACAACTAAACTTGCATTTTGGGGCTTTAGAAGTGAAGCAACATCTAACCCTTACAACTAAACTTGCACTTTGGGGCTTTAGAAGTGAAGCAACATCTAAGAGAAGGGCAGGAATCCAAAATCTACTTGAAAAGAACTGGCATTAGCTCTAACTCTGTCCTGCCTGTTGAGCAAATGCAAGTTAATTTCGACCTTGAACTTGGAACCCGGGTGCTGCCTAGAACAAGGCAGAGAAAGCACGTGTGAGTCGTTGGGCTGCCGCAGGATCTGCCACCCAGGGGTCAGGAGTTTCTGCCCAACGGTGGAAAAGGAGAAGAAGACTTTGGGTTGTGAACCAGAGGCTTACAATAAACAATGGAGGGGAAAAAAAAACTCCAAGAGGAAACGTAAAATACCCTGACACGTCCTTGGGTCAGCCGGTGGGCGAGAGAAGCGGAGAACAAATGCTAAAATTCACGCCAGGAATACAAATCTCTGCTACATCCTTCCTTCTCTTCCCCGGCTTCCCCCTCCCCTCTCTGAAATAAAGAAGAACATTTCTTAATTTAACACAACATCCTCTGGTTGCTGCCCTGTGTGCTTTTTGAACCCTGCAATGGGCGCCACAGTTTGCCAGCGAATCTCTACCATAAAAAAATCAAAGCTTTCTTCTCTTCTGCCTCTCACTGGTATTTCAAGCCAGTGGTAGAAGTGAAAACTAACAAAACACCTTGAAATTTTCAGACTGCAGGAAGGAGTAGAGCTAAGAGATTTCTACACTTTAAGCTCTGGGAACCTACAGCTCACTTTTTTAGCAACAATATCCTACAATCCTTAGTTCTGTTTCTGTACCCCAAATATCAATTGCTCCGTGCCGATGGGCAGGAAATGGAGAAGGGTTGTGCACTAAAAGCAGACAAAACACAGGGGAAATGGGTAGAAGAGTTTCCACGTAATATCTGCAAATGTAACAAGGAAAATATCCCTGGTGGCAATACTCCCTTTCTGGTGGCGTTTCACAATCTCCCCGTGCGGCTGAGCCACACCAACGCAGGAGCCAGCCATGGAAAATGGATGTTCCCTGCCAGAACATACGGCGTCTCACCTGGCACACAGTCACAGAATTGTCCAGGTTGGAAGGGACCTTTCAGATCATCGAGTCCAACCATCAACTGATAAAAAACATCACCAAACCATGTCCCTCAGCACTACGTCAACCCGCCTCTTAAATCCCTCCAGGGATGGTGCCTCTACCACTTCCCTGGGCAGCCCATTCCAAGGCTTCATAACCCTTTCTGTGGAAAGGTTCCTCTTTAAGGACCAGCTTTATCCCTGCATTATTTATCAATTTGCACGAGCCCACCTCTCCAGCCTGTCCAGGTCCCTCTGGATGGCATCCCTTCCCTCCAGCGTGTCAACTGCGCCACCGAACTTGGTGTCATCAGCAAACTTGCTGAGGGTGCAGTCTATCTCAGGTGACTTCATGCTGCGTATAAATTCGGGTTCTTTAGGCATCACCCCTCATTTATCTTGACTTTAAAAAGAAACCTAAAACCTAAAAAAAAAAAACCCTTACTCCAGTGCTAAGGCAGGGACAGAATCTTCTAGGTTGGAAGGGACCTTAAAGATCATCTTGTCCAACCGTCAACCCAACTGACAAAAATAGACACCCACACAACAAACAAGAAGCATCACCATCACTAAACCATACCTCCCAGCACTACATCAGCCTGTCTTTTGAACACCTCCAGGGATGGGGCCTCAACCACCTCCCTGGGCAGCCCATTCCAATGGCTGATGACCCTTTCAGTGAAAACATTTTTCCTAATATCCAGCCTGAACCTCCCCTGGTGCAACTTGAGGCCATTTCCTCTTGTCCTGTCGCCTGTGACTTGGGAGAAGAGACCGACCCCCACCTCTCTACACCCTCCTTTCAGTGAGTTGGAGAGAGCAATAAGGTCTCCCCTCAGCCTCCTCTGACGCGGCTCATCACATAAAATCGTTAGAAAAACCCCACTTTTCCCTGAGAACCCCCACAGCCCCAGCGGGCGGGTAGGCCTGGCCCTGACCCCGGGCCCGGCGGCGGTGGGGGGGG